CAATAATACATCTTTATTGTTTAATCTATATGGTTTCATAATCAGCCCATAGGTCACAAAATAGCTCCCAAATTTGCATCAATGTGTTTTTTTTTTTTTTTCCTTTACGCAGGAGAGGTGAGCGACGAAAAGAGCCCGACCGGGCCGGCGTCCAAGCGTGTCCGAACAGCGTACACCAGCGCACAGCTGGTGGAACTGGAGAAGGAGTTCCACTTCAACCGCTACCTCTGCCGCCCACGCAGAGTGGAGATGGCCAATCTGCTGAACCTGACCGAGCGCCAGATCAAGATCTGGTTCCAGAACAGGAGGATGAAATACAAAAAGGACCAAAAGTCCAAAGGGATCGCGCACTCGCCCCTGGGGCACTCCCCGGACAGAAGCCCGCCGCTCACCGGCGCCAATCACATGGGCTACTCGGGCCAGCTGGGAAGCTCGCTGGCTTACGACGCGCCGTCGCCTCCGCCCTTCGCCAAGCCCCAGCAGAACATGTACGGCCTGGCCGCCTACACGGCCCCGCTGGGCGGCTGCATGCCGCAGCAGAAGCGCTACCAGAGCGCCGAGTACGAGCACCACGGCATGCAGAGCGGCGCCACCTTCGCCGGCGCCAACCTGCAGGGCAGCCCCGTGTACGTGGGAGGGAACTTTGTGGATTCCATGCCGGCCTCGGGGCCCGTGTTCAACTTGGGCCACCTTCCCCACCCGTCGTCCACCAGCGTGGACTACAGCTGCGCCGCCCAGATCCCGGGGAACCACCACCACGGACCCTGCGACCCCCACCCCACCTACACGGACCTCACCTCGCACCAAGCCACTCAGGGAAGGATTCAGGAAGCGCCCAAGCTCACGCACTTGTAATAGAAGTGCGGATCTGTGTGAGTGGGTGTGTGCCAATATTATGACGCCGCGCTCTTTTTTATTACCTCACTATTCGAATAACTCCGAGCGAGTCGTGTGCATTCTTATCACCATCGCAGTATTGATATGACTATTATTGTGCATTTTCTTTTCGAAACAATTCTCCCACGTTATTGAACACGTGGGGATGGATGTCCGAGAGCTCTTGATTTTTTTTCCCTCCCCTAAATATATAAATATATAAAGTGCAATGCGCATTTTGGACTGAATTTTTGACTTGAAGTAAGGCTTGTAGGTGATGAACGTAGAAACTCATCAGTAGTGAGAAGGACTTTTAGTCCTTTTTTTTGTCAGGATCTCATCCTCGTCATCTTATTTATTTATTTTCATGATTATTGAATAATCGTTTTTGGGCTCTTATCTATTTATTATTTAATGATTGCACATTATTTATCGTTTATAAGCGAGTATTTATACGTGTTTTTTCTTTTTGTAAGATTGGACAGATCAGTGCACTTGATGGCAAAACAGGGTTGTTAAAAAAAAAAAATCTAATTGTACATCGGGGCCAAATGGGGCATTTTATAGTGTATAAGCACCACTATGTGTCCATGGTTAATCTTGTGTGGAATCTTAAGCAAATCGTAGACTATCGAAGTATCAAAATATTGTACACACCAGCATGTCATTTTGGTTTTTCTACTCATTGTCTGCCGTCGTTACTCATCAAATTACCAGACCCCGATGAGATTGAAATGTTCTATTTTATTGTGTTGGACATTTTGTAAATAAAGTGCTCAAACTTGACGGTTTTATTTCCACGAGACGGCGTGTGTTTTCATTATGAATATAAAGATAATATCCGTGGCTTGTTTGGTTTGCTCCAGGCTACCCGGGGGCCAATTGACCGCCACTGGACTTTACAAACAAGGAGAAGAGGATCAATAAATGAGACACCAGCAGATCCAAGTTATATAGTGCATTTCAGCGAAATATAAAAGCCCCCCTCCCCCCAACAGGTTATTGACGTTTTATTATTACTTACGACAACGAACGTCTGATTATTACGAAGAAGAAAATGAGCCCTATCCTTATATTGATTGGGTGGATTTTAAAACATATCCAATGTATTGACGAGCATGAGGAAAGGGGAGAAAGTGCATGCGCGTGCGCGTTATAATATGTATGCACGCGTTCACGTGGGAGAGAAAGAGAGAGCAGTTCATCCTTTATTGCTCCTGGAGAGCCATTTCAAAGCTCATTAATCAAAAACTCGTCGCTTTCAGACTCCTCGCTGATTCCTCCTCCTCGCCAACAAAGCGTCTGCATTCCAAATGCACGGAACACACTTCAAACCGTGCGGGCTAATCTTGAATTGGGGAAGGGTGGGGGGGGGGGCGATAAACACGCTGCGTGCACGTTGTTCCCTCAAATGTTGCCATGAATCTGTCCCCCTACGACTCAACATTTGGCCTCGCAAATCGGAGCTGTAGTCATAATTTGTGAAATTACGATTATGGTTAAGGTATGGTGGATTCCATTTTTTTTAAATTTATGACAAATATCTATAGCAGGATTCAGAAACATTTTATATAATTTTTTTCCCCATGTAACATCTTAATGGCAAATATTAAAAACAGCAGTGTTGGAAGAAAAAAAAGGCTAATTAAATGAACGATATTTAACTAATGTCATAAAATGGATTAAAAATTTATGACAAATATCTACAGCAGGGTTCTGAAACATTTTATATAATTTTTTTTCCCCATGTAACATCTTAATGGCAAATATTAAAAACAGCAGCGTTGGAAGAAAAAAAGGCTAATTAAATGAACGATATTTAACTAATGTCATAAAATGGATTAAACACAAATTCATGTTACATTGTCAGGCTAAACTATGCACAGTTAGACCATTTCACTCATATTCTTTTGCAAATCAGTGTTTAGTAAGTTAACTATTCTATTTGAACTCGATAAAGTATCTTTCATATTAGTTATTCTATTTATCTTAAGCGATAAAAGCAAAACATTTTATGCAATAAATCTAATAGTGCTTATTGTAAAACAGATTAATTTATTGCTTAACAAATAATAGCATATTAAATCGCAATCACAAAATTGATGGGGAGTGGGGGAGAAATCACAATTAGATTGTTTTTCAAAACTATTCAGCCTTACCATTAGTGCTACTCCAGTGATCTATTCTGCCATATGCACCTCTGCTTTCTGCACAGGTAAACTCAATTTACTTAAACAACCGAAAGAAGAATAAACAAGTGAAAATACTATCGAAGAAATAATGTAATCAACAATTAGGTGTACTTTGTTTATATGTCGCTAAATAGACGTCCTTTCGTTCGGCATTGTTGAATGCAAAGCCTACAGTGAAAATGGACGAATTTTAAACAAACAAAAGGTTTAAAAATGACATTTTCGTTGGACAACACTTAGTAAAATGGATTGAGCCAATCGGGCTGTCAGTTTAAACGCGCCAACCAAACAAAAAAAAAAAACTCTAAATATATAATTATATTTTATGGAAAGTGAAGTGCAGCCCTCGTGCTCATGCTGTGACCCTGATTGGAGCTCCAGCAGCGCATGCGCAGTGGCTGGACGTCAACAAGGGCTGCTCAGTGCTGTGGCGGCGTCGACACGTCCACGCGCACCCTTTGCTAACGTTCGTGTTGGTCTTCCACGGACTCCGGTGATGTGGGGGCGAAATTAAAAGCGACAAAGATGCAATTTGGAGGAGAAACGAGCGCTCAATTGGTGTGGACGAAGATCTCGCGATACTTCCGGCTGCATCCATCTCCATTCCGTCAGGATGAATGTTGTGTTTGCCTCGCTGAATGGAATATGGACACGCCGCGGGACTGCTTTAAAAACAAATATATATATTTTTTTCAAATATATTAAGGCACTTTTTAATTATATTTTGCTGCTTCTGGTGACAACAGGAGTCTTGCGGGTGCGGTGGATCCAGAACTAACTTATGACTGAAAATGGGACACGCGGAAGGATTTTTTTCCCTCTCCCACCATAATCAACAGAAGCGAGATTGTTAAATGTAAAGTGAAGTGCTGTGCAAGTCTTCTTTGCTTTTGGGACTGATCCTGCGCACGAGATGTCAACATGGAAGCTGGAGGAGGATGGAAAAAAATGCTCTTGTTATTTTCCTACTTAAATTGTTCATTTTTGTTTGAGACATTACCACCGCTACCCCTAAAGGCAATTTAATACTGTAAATAATCTAATATGACTTCAAGTGATTTTGTATGGTGTATACTTTATGGACTACGATTGATCTTTAACGTAATACTGAAGAAAAAGGCTTGTATTAAATGTTATATTCATGTTTACAATAAAAGACTTGAAATACTTGTGTTTTTTTTTTATCAGTACTAAAATTTGATATTGCAGTTCGGCTGATTAAAATTGAGTGATGTGTTGTTTTGATGCTATCAGATTGGGAACATGCATACAGTAAAAAGAAAACAAGCTTTGGGACACCGGACGACAACAGGAGCTATCAGTTCAATCTTCTGTATTGCTACAACAATAAATGATATCCTGAAACAAGAACTCTACTGGTTGAATGACTCCCATGTGGTTAATATGTGGAGGTTCAGAAATATAAACAGTAAAAAGGCACAGTAAGGTTGTAAATAATTTCTATACTGTATTTATATATTGTTATTGTATTCAATGGAGCCACTTAACATTTTTTTATGACAAAAGCACACTTTGCTGTCTTTTACAACCTTCTGCTGGTAAATGTATTTACTTTCATTTGAGACGATCTCAAAATGACAAACGTGTGTCTTAAAAAGGGTTGCTTTTGGAAACACCAAGTGAGAGCTACTCCCGTAACACCACGTTGTCTTAAGAAACATAAAAAAAATATATATATGCACAACTAAATCAGTTATGTGAACAATCTTGATAGGTCACTAACGTGCAAAAGGAGACTTGAGGCTGGGAGGTGCGTCTTTTCACGCTGAGAAAAAACACAGGAGACTGACCTCGACTTACAGGGTACATGGGTCAACATTGCGATAGAGTACTTTCGGCATCCTCATCAGAATCATGAAAGTCACCATCAAAATGTATGGATGAATTATACAGATATGATATATATACTAGCACGGCTCGAAATATAGACAAAGAAAATCAGCAAAGAGATAATCCGCAAGTATGCAGGGGTCGACGATTCAATTTTTTAAATTATTGTGAGTTTTGCATGTGTACTTGAGACTGACACCATTTTGTATTTCTTCATTGAAGCCCGAGACAGTGGAAAGTTGCAGAAAAAAAAAAATTAAACCGTTGTTGTGTAATTATCAACTGATTTTTGTGCACCGTTTAACGTGTCCACTTCGTCATAGTGAACTATCACTTGATATTCAAATGTATCTATTTTTTAAATAATACACTCTCGGCTTAGTAACTGAATCATGTTGGGAAGTGACGGTCCACCCATCTACTCGTTAAGTGCTACCATTAGCCCAAAATGTCCACGCTGCCGTTGTCCGCCCTGTCAACATATGAACATTTTGCTGTTTGCATGTACTGTATATTGTCTGCTTTCAGTTAATTTACATAAAAAATGTGGTGGCTTAAACAATATGCATTTCTAACAGCCTAATACATACTTGATACAAAGAATATGAAGCTAATTTGAAAATCGCAACTTTGTTCTATCATTTGTTGTCAATGTCTACGCTTTGCTGCTTTGGCTGTTTTCTACAGGGTAGACTTAACAGACACGTTTACTGCCTTCACAATCCATTTTTTTCAATCACAGGTGGCGTCATCCAAAAGCAAAATAAAAACAAATCCTGCCAGTGTGAATGATCCTTTTCGATTGTCTCACGAGTTCAAGGAATCTCGTTTCAAATCTTAAAAGCCAAACACACAGGCTTGCCAATTCATAAGACGCTGAAACAGTGAGCGGCAGAAGAGTAACTAGCTGAGAAACGTGAACTGAAGTCTGCGGAGCAGAAGTGTGGGGATTTACGGCAGCTCTTACGTGTGGCTGATAGATATAATTGTAAGTGAAATAAATGACTCACTCCCGCGGCTATGATTTAGGAGGGCCCG